ATCTATCTATTATATATGTGTGTGTGTGTGTGTGTGTGTGTGTGTTGGTGTGTGTGAGTGTGTGTGTGTGTGTTTGTGTTCATATATGTGTATTACATATTTACATATGAGGACTAGCGGCGTGTTACATGGTGCCCTTTACTCATAAATGAGTAGAGAGCAGCTTTTTAACTCTGGAGGATGACACTAGTTTAAACATCAAAACAAGAAATAACCTTTTATGTAGAATAGCTTGCTGTTATGGGAACTAATAGACGACAGTGATAATATCTAACAATTGTCTATCCTGCTGGAAAAAGGAACACCCTGATTTTACAGAAGCCAAGGCAGGAATTACATTGGAAATATATGTCAAAGAAAATAATGATTAGTCAAAACTCGTCANAGACGGACGGAGAGAGAGATAAGAGAAAAATATGGAGGAAAAGAAAGATGACAGACAGAGGAGGATAAATGGTTAAAGAGAAGGAATGGTGATGAGATAGATAGATAGTAGGTATATATATATATATATATATATATATTATTATATATATATATACCGTCCTATTATATATATACATATATATATTATATATATTAATAATATATATACTATATAGAGAGATGAGAGAGAGAGAGAGAGAGGGAGTAGCGACCAGAGAGAAGCGAGAGGAGAGGAGCCTGTTCTCGTCGCGCAAGGAGAGACGGAGATAGAGCGTGAGAGGACGAGAGGAGAGGACTGAGGAGAGACGGCAGGAGAGAGAGAAAGAAAAGAGAGAGAGAGAGAGCGAGCAGCGGGATGAGTGGAGTGATGGAGTTAGAGGGGATCTGGTGAGAGGAGCCTTTTTTCAAGTAGAGAGAGAACGGACGACCGGCCGACGGACGGGGCCGGAGGGAGCGACGGGCAGACGCGGGGGAGGGGAGAATGAGGGGGTAGGACGGATCGAGTGAGGAGGAAGGAGAGAGAGAGAGATGAGATAGAGGAGAGAGAGAGAAGAAGAGAGGGATTGATAGTGTGAGGGAGAAGAGAGAGAAGAGGAGAGGGAGAGAGGAGAGAGAGAGAGAGAGAGAGATGGGAGAGGAGAGACGAAGAGAGGAGAGGAGGGCCGACGAGAAGTCGAACGGCGAGGAGAGGAGTGAGAGACGAGAGAGGTGAGAGAGAGGAGAGAGGAGAGAGCGAGAGGGATAACGACGAGAGAGAGAGAGAGAGAGGAGAGCCGGGAGAGAGAGAGAGAGAGAGAGAGAGAGAGAGAAGAGAGAGGAGAGAGAGAGAGAGAAGAGAGAGAGAGAGAGAGAGAGAGAGAATAAGAGAAAAAGAAGGAAAAGAGAGATGGATAAAAGATAATAGAGAGAGATAGAGAGAAAGAGAAGTTAGAAAAGAAAGGGGAAAAAAATACAAACTCATAGAGAACGTAAACAGAAAACACAAGAAGCAACACAAACACAGATCTCTTAAGAAGAAGAAGAAGAAGAAGTAGCGTGTGTGTATGTGCGTGTTTGCCTGAGTATATATGTTAAGCATGTATGTGTATGCTGCATGCGTGTCTGTATGTCTGTGTCTGCGTGTGTACAGCGTGTTTGTGTGCGTAACTCCCAGAGAACAGTTGAAGAAGCCAGGATGTATGATCTTTGTTGTTTTTTTCGACGTTCAGCCGTGTTCTCCATTCATGTTCTTCCATGTTTGCTCCTTTTTTTTTTTTTTTTTTTTTTGCGTTTGTCGTTTATTCGTTTCCATCTTGCTCCTCTTTCTTAATTTTTTTCCTCCCCCCTCTCTCTCTCTCTTTTTTTCTCCCCCTCCCTCTCTCTCTCTCTCTCTCTCTCTCTCTCTCTCTCTCTCTCTCTCTCTCTCTCTCTCTCTCTCTCTCTCTCTCTCTCTCTCTCTCTCTCTCTCTCTCTCTCTCCTCTCTCTCTCTTTCTCCCTCCCCATCTTCTTCTCTTTTCTGATATCTAAACCCTTTCCCTCTTTTTCATTCCCCTTTCCCTGTCGACTTCCAATTTTCTCTCTGTGTATGGTTTATTTCTTAATCTCTCCCTCTCTCATTTCTTTCTCTTTCTCTCTGCTCTCTCTCTCTCTCTCTCTCTTCTCTCTCTCTCTCTCTCTCTCTCTCTCTCTCTCTCTCTCTCTCTCTCTCTCTCTCTCTCTCTCTCATCTCTCCTATATATATATATATATATATATATATATATATATATATATTATATATATATATACATATATATATATAGATAGATAGATATAGATTAGATAGATATATCATCTATCTATCTATCTATATATATATGGAGCCGGAAGACAGGGACAGCGAGACGAGAGAGGACGAGGACGAGAAGGAGGCGAAGACCGCCAGCGACGAGGACGAGGACACGAGGACGAGGGCGGCTCGACGCAGCCCTCGATCATTACTCGGCTGTGACGCGCGCCCTGAGAGGAAGCCTAAATTGCCCAATTTCGGCCGCGGAGAGAAAAACACATTTTTGGGATATCATGTGTTTAGCCTATTGGGGGAAAGGGAGGGGGGAGGGGGGAGGTCATGATGAAGGAAGGGGGGGGGTGTTCGGGGGAGGGATGAGAGGAGGGGAGGAGGAGGGGTTGAGGGAGGAGGAGGGGACGGAGAGAAGGGAGGAGGGAGGAGGAGGAGGAGGAGGCGGAGAGGGGTGCGGGGGGGGGGGAGTAGGGAAGAGCGGAGGGGAACGGAGAGAAAGAGAGGAGGGGGAGGAGAGTAAGGAAGGGATCAGGGGTTGTAGGGAGGAGAGGAGAGGGGACGAGGAATTAGGAGGAAAAATGAGAGGGGATAAAGGGAGAAAGAGGAGGAGAAGGAAATAGGACTGAGAGGAAGGGAAGAAGAAGTGAGGAGGAGAATGAAGGAGGAAAACGGAGAGAGAAAATTGGGAAAAGAGGAGGGAAAATAAATGGAGAGTAAAGAAAAAAAGTAGAAAAAGTGGGCAGTGGAGTGAAGAAAATAAGAAAGAAGGAAAAAAACGAAAGTATTGATGGAAGAGAAGTAAAAAAAAGAATAATCTTTTGTATGTTTTTTTTATTACTCTTCGCCCTCGCTTGCAATTATTAGAGTAAAAAAAAGGGGGGGGGGAGACTAAAGAGAAAGGGACAGATACTTAGCCATTAAACCCCCCCCCCCCCCGCCCCCTTAGCCTGTGGAAAGTAAAGAGGAGAATATGACATTTATCAGTACTTTTGCCATTTTAAAATATCATGAAGACAAAACACACTGAACTTTAGATGAAAAGAATGCCGGCGAAACGCATTTAAAATGGAACTGAAATACATTTCAAGAATACATAATTAAATTGCTTGAACGAAAAAAGGAAATTATTCTTGATGCGGTTCTA